GCTCATTTGTGCTCCCTTGTCGCACTTCCTCTCAAGTTTGTTTTCCACCATGTGGGGCCCTGGGTCTTCAGATCCAGAATGGATGTCACGCCGCTTCGTGCAATGCGGGCGTTTAGCAGACGGTTGAGGTTTCAGACGACAGCGAGGCGGAGACCTGTGCGTCCTGTCTGATTTGAAACATGGTCCAATGATGATAACGTCGGTGCTTCTAGTGCATCCACACGGTGTTGAATCATGGTCCAACCATGATAACGATCGTGCTTCTAGTGCATCCGCGCAGTGTCAAAACATGGTTCAACCATGATAACGCTCGTGCTCCTAGTGCATCAGCGCAGTGTCAAGTAATGGTCCAACTCTGATAACATTGATGCTTCTAGTGCATCCGCGCAGTGTCAAAACATGGTCCAACAATGATGACGTTGGTGCTTCTAGTGCATCCACACAGTGTTGAAACAAAGACGGGCTTCTACATTTTGGGCGGCGATAGCGCCGCGGAGGCCGTCTTTGCAAGCAAAGTGGCAATTAAGAAAACAGAACAAGTTGGGATAGATACGGCCACTGCAGTTTCCAAATCATTTCTGGCCGGCCAATGGACGTTACACAAACCAGGGTTGCTGTGTTTGCTGCAAGCTTTTCGATCCTATCAAGCCTACTATCTCGATTCTCCACGAAGACAGGACATGGGAGGCTTTGAAGTGACTCAAGACACCCTAAAGCCCCTAAGCCCTAGACGCTAAACCGTTAACCCTAAACCCTAACTCCTAAACCGGCTCAACTCTAAACCCGTAAAACCCCTAAGCCCTAAGTCCTAAAGCGGCGAAAACATTACCCCTAAACTTTAATCCCCAAACCAAAAATAAGTCAAATCCGTAATGCCCAATTTTGACCTTTTGAACTACATCAAGAAAAACGCACTTAAATCCTGACGAGCGCAAAACGTTGGCAGAACTAGGGAAAACAAGAAGTCCACGAAAACAACACCCAGAACGATTTCGGGCTCAGATTGTCCCGGGTTCCTGTTTTTTTTTAAACGGCACACCCAGCTTTTCACCTCAAAAACCGCTGAAGATGTGGCCGGCGTGGTAGTTGCATTGATGGTTTAGGGTGTATGCTTTCTTTAGGGTTAGGGGTTGTTAAGGGCTTAAGGCTTGTTCAGGGTTTAGGATTTGTTTCGGGGTTAGGGCTTGCTTAGGGTTTATAAAGTTTGTTTAGGGTTTCGGGTTTGCTTAGGGTTTAGGCTCTGTTCAGGATTTAGGGTTCTAGGGTTTAGGGTTTGCTTGTTTAGGATTTAGGGCCTGTTTAGTGTAGCGTTTGATTAGGGTTGAAGGTGTGTTCAGGGTTCAGGGTTTGTTGAAGGTTTAGGGATTGTTTGAGGATTTAGGGATTGTCTGGGGTTTGGGGCGTGCTTAGGGCTTGAAGTTTGTTTAGGGTTTAGGGTTTGTGTCGGGTTT